GATAGATGTGCTTTACACAATTGATCTATGTATTGTGATGAATTTTATGAGCCCCAATAAATTGATTAAAAAAAAAATACTATGGCTTGGGTAAAGCCCACCTTCACCCTCAGGGTAGCATCCTTGCTTTTCAACATTCTAAAGAGGTCTTGTACAGCAGATTTACCCAATGCAATGCATCTTTTGATCTCTAGAATTCTGTTTCCATGAGCATTGATTGTAGGTCCAAGCAAGACAAAATCCTTGAAAACTTCAACCTTTTCTCCATTTATCACGAGGTTACCATATTGGGTCAGCTGTGAGGATTTTGGTCTTTTTTACATTGACTTGTAATTCATATGGAAGGCTGCAATCCTTGATCTCCATCACCAAGTCCCTCAAGTCCTCTTCACTTTAAGCAAGCAGGGTTGTGTCATCCGCAAATTGCAGGTTGTTAATAAGCCTTCCTCCAATCCTGATGCTGCATTCTTCTCCATGTAATCCAGCTCCTCTGATTATTTGCTGACCCAAACCATGGTATTTTCCATTGTCTCATATGCATGTGAAAATTGGACATTGAATAAGGAAGATCGAAGAAAAATTGATGCATTTGAATTGCTCTGCTGGCAAAGAATATGGAAAGTACCATGGACTGCTAAAAGAACAAACATTTGCTTTGGAAGAAGTACAGTCAGAGTGCTCCTTAGAGGCAAGGATGGCAATCCTTGGTCTTCTATACTTTAAACATATTGTCAGGCGAGTCCAGTCCTTGGAGGAGGACATCATGCTTGGTCAAGTGGAGGGGCAAATAAAAAGGGGAAGGTCCTCAATGAGATAGATTGACACCATGGCTGCAGCAATTGGTTCAGACATGGGAACAATTGGGAATGGCAGGGGTATGGGAAAATGCTCTTTCTGTTGTGCCTGGGTTCTTTATGGGTCAGACTGACTCAATGGCACACAACAACAGCTCTTTATAGGCATAGACAGCTTCATCTTTCTCCTGCAGAGGAGCTGGTGGTTTTGAACTGCTGACCTTGTGGTTAGCCACCCAACGTGTAACCTCCTATGCCACCAGGGCTCCCAATCACAAAACAATAACAACAACAACAACAACAAAAACTAGTTGTTAAGTTGATTCTAATGCATGGCAACCCTGTGTGTTACAGAGAAAACCATAGGGTTTTCTTGGACATACTCTTTATGGAAGCAGACCACTAAGCCTTTCTTCCATGGCACTGGTGGTGAGTTTGAATCAGCAACCTTTAGGTTAATAGATGAGGATAGACTGTTTTGTTTTTTTTTCCCCATCCAGGGACCTTACCAGACACATTTTATTTTAAACTTGGCATCTTGCAGGTACTAGTTGTGTGCCATTGGGTAAGCCACTTGACCTTTCTAGCTCCCTTTTCTTTATCAATAAAAGTACCACCTTATACAGTTATTATAAGGGTTAAAGAAATAGATGCTGATAAATTGTGGCGTGCAATGTTTGTCACAGCAATTCCTCCACGAATGGCCATTCTCTGCCTCTTACCAAATAGCAACTGAAGAAACAGAAGGGCCGGGTGGGTCTGATGCGAACACCAACATTCCCCTCTTCTCCCTGAGGCAGGATGTTGCCCTCGTCGTCTACAATCTGCAGAGAGATGGCAGGTGTCCGGAAAATACACAGCCAGGTAACCTCATCAGCTGAGCCTGGTGTTGCTAACCCAAGTGTGGTAGTTACATAATCTGGTGTCAATCTGAGACTTGGGAGTGAAGGGGTGGAGTTTGGTCTGTCAATCAGGTCATGGTTTGATGACCTTATTTGGAGGCGCTAAGGAGATAAATAGCTTGCTGGAGGCAGGACACAGGCTCACTCCCAGAGAGACTTTCTACTGACAAGACTGATGGAGCTATGCTGATGGCAGCCAGGACCCTGGAGCTGGAGGAGCCCCAGAGAGACCCACACCAGCACAGAAATGCTTCTACCACCTGGATCCACAAGACTTCCCGCTCATTGTCCTGTGATCTTCCTGCATTCAGCATCATTGCATGTGTTGCATGAGCCTGGAGAGGAATTTATAGATTGGTATCGGGCATCTGGGCTAATATCAGAGTTATGCACTTGATCTGGACTGGGCTGGATGCTTTCTCAATATTCAATTGCTCTTGTATATAAAGCTCTTTCTTAAACACATATGAGTATCTATGAATTTGTTTCTCTAGTCAACCCAGACTAGCACACCAAGGGTATAGGTCTTACTCCTCTTGAAACCAAGCCTCAGCACCAGCATCTGGGTGAGGCCGCCTACCTGCACATCATAAGGTGGGGATGCTTTCCCCATGGAGCCAGATTTGATGTTCTCCCCTTTTGTATTGGCACAGATCACAACCTGGAGAGAGACAGTGCAGTTAGGAGGAGGCTTAGTGCCTTATTCCCTTCGCCTCCTGCTTCTCTGTTTGCCCCTGCCTCCTAGCTCTGTCCCTCTTTTGCAATGTTCTTCTTTCTCTCGCTCTTCCTTCCTTCCTTTCTTCCCCCCCCTTGACTTTTGTCTTCTCTTCCTCCCCTCCACCCTCTTCTTCATCTTCCTTTCTCATTTTCCTTATTTCCTCCCCCCTTTCTTTCCTCTCTTCTCGATCACCTTTTCATTCATCTTGTCGGCCTTTTCCTCACTATCACTATCTCACTATCTTTCTCACCTTCTCTTCTCCTTTTCTCCTCCATTTTCACCTTTTCTTTCTATAATCAACATTTACTGGGGACTCTAAATGGGCCACCACAAGTCATAAACTTAGGGTGTCCCTAAGCCAAAGGACTCAGCGGATCCCCACACCTCCAGCAGGACAGCTGTAGAGCAGCCTGCTTAGTTAGCATCCTGGCCTCCAGACTACAGACTGCTGTCTGTCCTGGGGGAGTTCTATCATACCCTTTGGCCATGAGAGTTGGTTTGCAGACAGTGGTTGAATTTTGAAGAAAGTAATTACACCTTTGACTTTTTGATTCTATACCTTCAACTCTTCTCTTCAACCTTTCCCATTCCAAACCTTCAACCAACCTATCGGGCAGTATATACCCATAGCCTTGCTCTCAAATCTCAGGAAATTTCAAAACATAACCAACTCAGAAACAGCAAACTGCTGAATTTTTCAAGCTTTTTTCCCTCAGAAATATTTTCATGTAGCAAGATATATATAGTTGCATCTCCCCTTCCCAGTGGCACCATGTTCAGGTGCTTGACAATGAGCTTAAAGGTGAGCAGTTCTGGACTCCCCAGAGGTACCTCAGAAGACAGTTCTGGAAATCTGCTTCAGATTGAGAGGCCTGTGGACCAGAGCTTACTGCACACTCACGGGCGGGCGCCAGAGTCAGCGAGACTCAATGGCAACTCACAGCAGCAATAGCAGGATCTAAGATCTGCGATTTACTCCTTCAAACCCACAAGTGAGAAAAGCAGATGTCATTTTGTCACCAGCTTGTCTCTCTGTGGGCATGGCAGTCTCCCTGGGATGAGGCCAGGCCAGCTGGAGTTTGCTGCAGGCTGCACTTGCTGCCTGAGGTGTCTATTGGATGAGACCCGGGGAGGAACCTGGCCCAACAGCACTTACTGTTTCAGACTGGCCGTAACCTTCATATAGCTCCAGGCCCGTCTGGCTCTTCCACTTCTCCCTCACGTCAGGATTGAGGAATTCCCCTCCCGTCACGCAGTGCTTCAGACTCTGAAACTGGTACCTTTTGCAGCCGGGAAGATGAATGGCTGATCTCAGGATCCCCACTCCACCCTTTCCCCCAGAATTGCCCCCCCAATCCAGGTGTCAGTCTCGTCTCTCTATAAAGCACTAGAGGTTCAACACCCATGTCTTACAATCTTCTCTGGGTACCTGGATGCTATGGCTTCAAAGAATGTTCCCCATGGACAAAATTAATCCCGCCTGAGTTTCAATAAACTCAGAGCCTCACAATATGCTTTGATATAATATGCGGAGCTCCAGATGAATTGGAAACACACTAAGTTATAATAAATTGATCATGACAAAAATTTGATAAAGAGATAATTTATAATGTGGAAAGACAAAGCTTTTCTTAAGAATCTCCAAATTTAGACAAATAACCCCCAAATCCCTAAAGATATTTAATTATTGATCCCTAAAGATATTTAATGATTTTAACATATTTAATATATTGAAATAAGATTCTTGTTTAGCCTGACCACTACCCAACATGTAAAAATCAGTGCTTGCAAATGAATTTTAAAGCAATTTCCCCCCCTTTTGGATTGATTTAGTTTTCATTAAATAACATAATATTATTAAGAACAATTGTTCAGTTGGCTCAGGACTGGCTGAGCCATTGTTTCTTTCCATTGAACATGGGGTCACTATGAGTGAGAACAAGGGGCCCCCAAAGTACTAAACAGATAGGCCGTACCTGGTCAAATCCTCCTGCACAAGCAGCCGGAAGATGGTGGGAACACAGCAGAGAGTGGTAATAGGAAACCGGGCGAGAGTCTAAACAAAACACAAAGGTTGGAAGATGAGTTACTGAGGTAGGACTTGCCAGAGATGCGCTGGGTCCTTATGTTCTCGTGACTGAGAAGTCTGTGTGGGAGGCAGCCTCTAAAAAGACCTTGGCTGTTGTCTTGGGCATGTGTCCTTTCCCTCCCTTGCTTGAGTCAACCACTCTGTGGGAAGCACTGTCACAACAGTCCTATGAAGAGGCATTGTTTTCTTAGTATATGTGCTGCCGAAGCGAGCACGAGGCATTGTTTTCTTATAGATGAGGAAGCAGCAGTGAAATGACTTAGGGGTCACACAGCTAACAAGTGGAGATGCTGGATCTGAGGACAGCTCTGATGGGCTGCACAGCCTGGGCTATAAACAACTAGCGGGTACACATCAAACTCACTGCCATCAAGGCGAGTCCGATGCACAGTGACCCTATAGGGCAGAGTCGAAATGTTCTTTAGGATTTCTGAGCCGTGAGTTGTTGGGGAAGCAAGAAATGTCTTATTTCTTCGTGGAGCAGTGGGTGGGTTCTACCTGCTGACCCTGCGGTTAGCAATCTAACATGTAGCTCACTACATCACCAGGATTCCACTACGGGGTGGAGCATGGGCAGATGGGCCCTCTGTTTTAAGAAATGGTAGTTAGACTATGGAGGACAGAAAGAAAGAACGTGTCCTTACAGGGACATCAGTTCTTTCCCCTCCCCATGAGAAGACCCTGGAGGCTGGCCAGGAGTGATCAGAGGTTTAGATTGAGCAAAATAATCAAGCCCAACCTAATGGATGTTACCACATGGAATTGGGGGGTCAATTATAATTTTGCTCAAGCTTTTAAGAAATAAATACAGTTTTGACATGATCATGAAGGGAAAGAGAGGGAGGGGAGGCACTTATACAGGAAAAGCATAGTATGGAAAAATAGGATGGGCTTATGTCTAGGGATCTAGATAGGGAATAGTCAATGAAGAAAGATTATCAGGTGCGTAGAAGCCAGATTATGGGAGTTCCTGAGTGCTTGCTAGTTAATATAAGCATTGGATCTGCCAATGATTCATGCCATTCCTCTTACAAACATGAAACCTCTTTCTCACTCACTGGCACTCAACACATCGTGGTGGTTTTGTTAGGTAGCTAGAGGCAGAACTAGGGGTTGTCCCTCTACACGTCAAACCTTCCCTCCCCCATTACAGGAAGTTGGAAGCTGCTTAAGGTTGGAGACCATACACACATTCAGGTCTTTGAGACAGGAAGCCGGTAAACCTGGGTGGGACCCTCTCTAGGCCAGGTGGGCTTAATTCAGCCAATGGGGCCCTGAAAAGCCCGAAGTTTTCTCTCAGTTCAGTGTGGCCAGACCACAGTCCCGCGCAACTATGCAATGAACTCTGTCTGGCTTGTGTTCCATTTACTGTAAAACCCGAAAGTTCTTCTAGCCTTTAAAAAACTCACTTGGATCACAAACCAGGCTTCGGCGTGAATTCTTTCTCGAGTGAAGCCAATGACCGAGGTATATTTCTCCCACGAGAGAGACCTAACCGTCTTATAGCTTACCTTCAGAATAACTTTGACATCCACACGGGGCAGTTCATGCACAAAGATGCAAGACCCATGGGGCCATGCAGAAAAGAGGGTCCAGGCCGCCTTCACCCAGCCAGTGTCAGTTGTGTTCCAGAAAATGTCTGAGTCGGTCAAGGCCACCCACCTCCTGCCAAGAAATAAAATTTGTATCGTCAGGAATCCCTATGCCTTTCACAAGGATTCAACTTCCTTTCCCCTGTTAATCAGAGGCCTGCCCATAGTGGGGCCTCACTCGCATTGATCAAATGTGGAAAAGACCCGTAAAGCCAATCATTTGCTCAGCAAGTGTTTATTGAGCCCCTTCTAGTTACGTATGTCCTAGGCTATAAAATCCAGATTGTTTAAAGACAAATCCCCTATTTTCAAGGAGTTCACTGTCTAGTGGGAGTGATACAGGAGAAAACAAATCATCTCAATGCTTTGTGACAAGTTCACTTTGCTTACTCCGTCAACATGATTTGGCACATAGGCTATGATGGACGTTAGGGATATAGAAATGAACAGAAAGTTTTGTCTTGAAGAGCTTGTAGTTCAATAAATACAACAAACACCCGGGAACACCCTGAAGAACATCCATCAAGACAGGAACTGCAGAATCTTATGTCATGACAGACAATCTAACACAGAGCCCAGGGTTGAGATGGGGTCTTAGAAATGCTTTTGTACAGGAAGTGACCCCTGGGTTAGATGGAAACCTCTGTGGCGTTAAGTCACACAGGTGAGGCATGAATGGAGGCCACCCTAGGAAGGGGAAAGAGTTCTTGAAAACATGGAAGACAGAAAAAAATGGTTTCATTCTGCAGTTCCAGCTTCCCATGGGCTCTTTCTTCTCAGTATTCAAGGTCTCCTCAATGTCAAAATGCCCGGTCCTTAGACCTCCTCTCCCTTCAGTGGATAATTCCCTCCTCCCCTAATCTCATCCAATCTCATAGCTTTCAACACTACTTTGTTGCTGATGCTTCAGTGTGAATCTCTCTTATAGACGCTAGTCCAGAACGGAACACGCTTGCCTTCCTTTTCCTGACCTCTCAAGTTTTCTACCTGTGGCAGGTGTTTTATTACCACTTTTCCATTGCTCATTTAGGTAGAAAAAAATGTGAGCACCCCTTCTCTGACAGGTTTCCTTCCACAGGGTCTAGCCTTTGTAAGTTTTACTGGCTATCCAACTACCTGCTCAGCATATCCCCCTTTAACTAGGCTATAGAGATGTCTGGAGCCCCCTGAGTGGTATTCAGCTGCCAATCCAAAAGTTGGGGGTTCAAGTCCACCAAGAGGTTCTTTGGAAGAAAGACCTGAGAATTTGAAAAATCAGTCTTTGAAAGCCCTGTGTGCGTCAGTTCTACAATTTGTTTCCCGGTATGGAGATATCTAATAGGCATCTCAAACATCCTATGTAAAAAATGGGTGCCTTGTTTTCTTTCCATTTGAACAGTAACTCTCACCGACTCCCTTCTTGATGATTCCGACTGCCCACAAACCTTGGAATTGTCTTTTTGACTCTTCTCTTCCTCTCTAATCCCATATTGACTCTGTCTGCAAATCCTATTAGGCCTGCCATTCGGAATCTCAACTCCGTTCAGAATCTCATCTCTTCTCACTCCTTCCATTGCTATTTCCCTTATCGCTTACTACCATGATCTCTCAGTATGATGATCTCCTGCTTAATCCATTGCCCACTACACGTTTCTTTTTACTCAGCATTCCAGGTGGTCCTTTAAAGAAAAAGAAATCAAATAATGTCGCTTGTTTGCTGAAGGCCATCCACTGGCTTCTTGACTTCATCAGATTAAATGAGAGAACCTCCACTCTCCCACGGACCCACCAAGGGAGCTCCCTCCCCACCCCCCACCCCCGTACCTTCCACTGGCCACAAAACCCAGACTGTAGCTGCCCTGGGTGTGCTCGGCCATCTTGGGAGCTCCGGTGGTGCCACTGGTAAAGTAGATCGCCAGTGGGTCTCCACTCTTGGTCCTCACGCAGTTGTGCTCTGTGGAGGCTTCTCTGTAAAACGTGAAAGTGCCAGTCATAAAAATAACAGCAATACCAAGCATATAGGAGTGCTTCGAAAAGTTCATGGAAACATTCCATTACCCTTTACTTACATTTTCCCCCCATGGTTTGTTTTTAAGCTCTCTTGTATTTATAACCATAATACTGGCTGCTATTTTGATGCATCCCATTGTCAAGCATCATGGTGAGAGCTCACACTTGCATTGTCTCTCATTCTTACCAACCCCTCACTGGGTAGGTGCTAAAACCTCTCTCTAGGTCAGGAAAGTGAGGCTCCAAATGGTGAGAAGACTCGAGTCAAAAGAGTCCATCCTTTTTGGCGAGAGCTTGAGGACTTTTTGGTGGGTCACACACAGGCCCACGTGCCTACCTAGTTGGGCATGGCCTCCCCTCTCTTCCACACCACTTCTGATGACTTAGGGATAGTCTCTAAAGGACACTCCAATTTTGGAGGCGTAAGATCTGGGTAAATCCTAGAGTAGTATGCACAATCATCTAACCCACGGGTTCTCAATTCTGACTGCACCTTAGAATTATCTGGTATCTTAAATTCTGTGCGCTGCTGTCTCACCAGTGGCACAAACAGGAGGCTTTAAAGAACAGAAATTTATTTTCCTACACTTCTGGAGGCTAAGGATGGTACAGAGCCCGGTAATGTTTTGTTCAGAACTGATTTGATGGCACCTAACCACAAGGACATCCAAACACCTGTCACTACTTAAAGATAGCAACTGTGCTAATGTTAACTAGCTAAGGACACAGATAAAATTAACTTACAACTGGAAAGTGTAAACAACAACAATAAAACCATTGCTTTGGCCTGGTCTAAAATGAAAGACTTTTTGAGTGTGTTGCTGTCGTAGGAGGCTTGGTGGCACTGCTGGGTAAGCTTTGGACTGCTAACTGCTGCTTCGGCCCTTTGAACCCACCAGCTGCACTGAGGGAGAAAGATGAGGCTACCTGTTGCCATGAAGACTTACAGTCCTGGAAACCGTTTACAAGCTCATCATGGGTCAGAATGGACTCTATTGTCAGCAGGGTTTTTGTTGTGAGGCATGTTTCACCCCCCAGTGACCCCATACGCAACAGAACAGAACACTGCTCTGTCCTGTGACATCCGCACAGTTATTACTAGGTTTGAGCCCCTGCTGGCAGCCACTGTCACTCTATCTGAGTGGCTCCTTTATCACTGACCTTCTATTTCACCGAGCATAATGGCCTTTTCCAGGGACCGGTCCCTCATGATCATATGTCCAAAGTAATTGAAAGGAAATCTCATATTTGCTTCCAATTAGCATTCTGGACATACTTCTTCCAAGAGAATTTTGCTTATTTTTCTGGTAGTTTGTTGTATAGTTAGTATCCTTAGGATTTCTAAGATTGTAAATCTTTACAGATGCAAACAGTTTCACCTTTCTACTGAGGAGCAGCTAGTGGGTTTGAACCATTAACCTTGCACTTAGTAGGTTAGTACTTAACCCACCACACCAGCAGGGCTTCTTACATGTTGTTTTTAGGTGCCAACTTACAGTGCCCCTATGTAAACAGAACATTGCCCAGCCGTGTGTCATCCTCCCAAGGGTGCTTATGATTGAGCCCATTGATGCAGCCACTGTGTCAGCTCATCTTGTCCAGAGTCTTCCTCTTCTTTGCTGCCTGTCTACTTTACCAAACATGGTATTCTTCCCCAGGGACAGGCCTCTTCTGACAACATGTTCAAAGTGCGTGAGACGAGTCTCAATACCCCATTCTTCTTCCAAGACGGATTTGTTTGTTTGCGTGTTGTTGGCAGTTCATGGTATGTTCGATGTTCTTTGCCCGCACGACAGTTCAAATGCATCGATTGTCCTTTGGTCGTCCTTATCCAATGTCCAACTTTCACAGGCATATAAAGCAATTGAAAAGACCATGGCTTGGGTCAGGTGCACCTTCGTCCTCAAAGTAACATCCTTCCTTGTCAACGTTGTAAAGAGGTACAGCTGATTTATCCAATGCAATGCATCGTTTGGTCTCTTGATTGCTGCTTTTATGGACATTGATTGTGGATCCAAACAAGATGAAGTCCTCAAAAACTTCAATATTTTCTCCATCTATCACGATGTTACCTATTGGTCCAGATGTAAGGATTTTGGTTTTCTTGATACTGATTTGTAACCCATACAGAAGGCTGTAATCCTTGATCTTCAACAGCAAATACTTCAAGTCCTCCTCACTCTCAGCAAGCAAAGTTGTGTCATCTGCATATATCAGGTTGTTAATAAGCCTTCCTCCAATCCTGATGTGGTATTCTTCTTCAGATAATCCAGCTTCTCTGATTATTTGCCCAGTAGACATTTTGAATAAGTATAGTGACAAGATACTATGCTTACACACACCATTCCTGATTTTAAACCATGCAGTATTCTCTTGTTTTGTTCCCATAAATGCCCCTTGATTCATGTAATTTCTGCATGAGATACCCATTTTTCTCAAAGCTATCCATAGTTTGTTATGATCCATGTAATTAAATGCCTTAGCATAGTCAATGAAACACAGAAGTAAATATCTTGCTGATATTCTCTGCTTTCAGCCAAGAGCCATTTGACATCAGTATTGATATCCCTTGTTCCATGTTCTCTTCTGGATCTGGCCTGAACCTCTGGCAGCTCCCTACCAGTATACTTCTGCAACCATTGTTGGATGATCTTCAGCAACAATTTGCTTGTATATAGTATTCATAATATTATTTGATCATTTGAGCATTCTGTTGGGTCATCTTTCTTTGGAATAGGTACAAATATGGATCTCTTCCTGTCAGTTGGCCAAATAATTGTTTTCCAAATTTCTTCACATTGAAGAGCGAGTGATTCCAACACTTTATCAGCTTGTTGAAACATTCCAGTTGGTGTCCATCAATTTCTGGAACTTTGGTTTTGACTAACGCTTTCAGTGCAGTTTGAACTTTTTCCTTCAGCACCACTGATTCTTGCTCACATGCTACCTCTTGAAATGGTTGATAGTCAACTAGTTCTTTATGGTACAGTGACTATGGATTCTTAATACATAGCATCTCTTATTTATAGCATCATGAACTACCAACTGTGTATTGACCACCATGTAGATTTTTTTATTTACTCTGGGTAATAGCTGTATAATAGCTAGTTGAGTACATGACGCTATCTAGAAGGTCAGTTGCTTGAATCGACCAGTGGCTCTATCAGAGAAAAATGTGACCCTCTGCTTCCATACAGCTTTATAGCCTCAGAGACCCTATAAGGCAGATCTGTTCTGTTCTATTGAGTCTCTATGAATCAAAATCAACTGATGGCAGTGTCTTACAGTTTGGGGTTTTAAATAACTATCATCGCCATTACAGAGACAAATACCAAAAACAATCCCTGAAAACCAGCCAGAGTTCCTGCTGTCCAGGAGATTCCAATTGATAGTAACCCTGTCGGCCAGAGTAGAGGCACCCTTGTGAGTTTCTCACTGTAACTTTTTATGGGAGTGGAATGCCCTGTCTTCTTCAGGTAGAACAGCTGGTGATTTCAAACTGCTGACCTTGTGATTAGCAGTACAACAGGCAACCCACTGCACTGCCAGGACTCCTATAGAGGCAAATAAGACACAGCAAAGCTAGTGACATTTTGTATTAAGTCTGGGTACTTTAGAGAAACAAATCCACAGAAACTCATGTATAAAAGAGAGTTTTATATAAAGGTTAAGAGTGCATCAAGAAAACATCCCAACCCAGTGCTGCCCAAGCCCACGAGATTAACCCATATGTCCAACACCAATCCACAAAGTCCTCCTCCATCTCACAAAACAGACACAACGACGCCGACTGCAGGAGGAAAGTTGAGTCAGTGAGCGTGTAAGCATCTCAGCACTGGCAGGGGTCTCCATATGGGTGCTCCAGCACCCAGAGCCTGCATCGGGGTAGGTCCATGCGGCTTCTCCTTGGGGATGTCTTGCTGGAAGTCAGCCTTGCAAGCTGAAGCAGGTAACTGCTAAGGCAGCTGCACCCTGGTGCAGCCATCACAAAGCAGGAGACCCGAGAAACTAGAAAGGCAAGGCTCACCATGCCATTTATCCCTCCGCCCTTCAATTAATCCCACATGTGCTTATCGGCCTGGTTGGCACAATAAACTAACTCACACCTTCAGTACTGAGTGAGCGAGTGACCTTGAACAACCTTACAGTAGTTCACTAGGAACATGCCTCAGATCATTCTGGCTACCAAAGTGAAAGTTCCCCTCTGCTTTCAGTCCCTGCGTGCAACCAGTAATGCTTTGTATTGTCCTCAAGGGGAATGGATGCCTTGACTTCATTGTGTGTACGTTTTCCTGGAGAGCCCCAACTTACCGGAGGAGTTCTCTGAAATTCAGCCAGCCAGATCGATTGCTATCTGATACCAACAGCTTGGTCTGGAGGGAGGGGCAGTCAGCACTAATGGCGTCCACCCGAGGAACCAAGGAGTCACTGGTGATAATGATCTTGGCCCTGGATACCTGCAGCCGGTACTTGAGGTCCTTCTCCGTCAGCTGAGAGACACCAGGGATCATGACGGCCCCTGACATCACACAAAGAGGAGATGATGGCTTGGCAGTAGGGGAAGAGAGAGACCTCTGTGGAGAGGTCCAAACCTAGTAACCCCCTGGGGAGATGGGAGGAAAATGGGGCTGGACAGGGTTGGATTGTCTGAGCTGAAAAAGATAACAGTAATATTCGTAAGGGCATCTCAAAAATGTTTGTGGAATTAAAGGCTTTGCCTTGTCTCATTTAACCCCTACCACCCTGGGAAGTAGACACGAATGATCATATCTATTATGCAAGACCTATTCCAAAATCAGAAGTTCTGGTAATACTGGCCCTCATTCCTGCCCGAAGCATTCGGTTGAAGCTGAGAAGCAGCTGCTATTGTTAGAAGAGGCAGGGAGTCTCTAGCTTTCCTCATTTGCAACACTGCCTGGTTCCTGTTAACAAGCACGCTTCAGAGGGTTGAGCAACAAGGTAGGAAGAAACCATCTCCCTCCCCTGAAGAGTCGTTTTGCTCCATTCTCCAAACAAAAATGTTTTGGTGGGTTGTGTAGGCCCTGACCCAGAATGTCTAGCCGTGCTTACTCACCTGTCCGCATGCACGCCACACTCACCAGCCACCACTCTGGGATCCGAGGGAGCACCAGCATCATCCTGTCCCCAGGCTGCAGGCTACACACGCCCTGCAGCACGTTGGCCGCCTTCCTGGACTGCTTCCCCAGTTCCTCAAAGCTCCACTTGACCTCTGTTCCCAGGCCATCAACCCACCAGAATGCAGGGTTTGGAGGCCGGTGTCCATCCTACATAATAGTAGGCAGAAATGAAATAAAAGTTGTTTGCTTAATATATATTTGTTTTATTTTTTTAAAAAATACTTAGAATTTTTAATGTTTTACACTAGTTAGTAGAGTCACAAAAATCAGAACAATACGGAAAGAGATTGAGACGTTGTCTCCCATCACGTGTGCTATCTATCTATATTTGCCTAGATGTGTAACTACTTCGATTAGTTTCTTACATATCCTTCTAGCTCTTCTCTATGCAAATGCAAGTATATTTTTTGTTTTCCATCCCATTGTGTTACAGTAAAAGATCGCGTCCCTTGCATTGCCCTACACCTTTCCTACTGACTGAATTCTCTGCCATCCAAGTCCCTTTAGACTTACAGCGACTCTACAGGACAGCAGGGTAGAACTGCCCTTGTGGGTTTCTGAGACTATAACTCTTTTCTGGAGTAGGAAGTCTTCTCTTTCTCTCACAGAGCAGCTGGTGGTTTCAAACTGCTAACCTTGCAGTCAGCACCTCATCACATAGCCCACTACATCAATTAGGGCTCTGAGGATCTGCTGAAAAAAGTAAGACCTTCGATTGACCCCATGGCTGCCACATTGGTTTCTAATGTAACAATGGTGAGACTGGCCCAGGACTGGGCAGCCTGTGGCTTGGTTACACAGAGGGTTGCTATGAGTTGGAACCAAGCTGATGACATCAAACAACATAATGACAACATCTTTCCTCTTCTTGATACCAGTCACATACCATAATAGTTGTGAGGAACAGAAGGATTTCTCTTAAGTTGTCTCCCCAAAATATGTACCAGACTTAGTTGTTTAAGAATGACTGTACAATAGGTGATCAGCGAAAGTAGGTCAGAGGTTATTCTCCTTAACATCAGCCATCTATAGTGGCTAGACTATTAGTCGGACTCACCCTAAATAAGACCCACTCCCTTCTGATAAGGAGAGTGGTGGTCTGTTTACTTGCAGGAGATACCAGAGAGGGCAAACCCGCCCAAGGGTGACCAAGGTTAGGTAGCCACTATCAGCTGTCTAGATCAAGCAGACACCACTGTTTATCCCACAACAAATGTGGGCACACCCCTAGGTCATCCCCCTCCTATTGATTGTATTGCCTATATCGCTACCCCTCCCTGTGACTTAGGCTATTGTCTGCTATCAGGGGACTTGCATGCCTCCCAGAATAGTAGTTGTCTGTTTTATTATATGAGACACCAGAGTGATCAAACTTGTTCTAGAATGAATTGTATTGCCCCTTTCTGTGATGTATGACTCTGTAATCAGATCCCCCTAAGTAATATGATGCGTGGTTAGCAATAAATAATGAGGCTCCCTGGTTCTCGGGAGGATGGCTGGCTGAGGGTGGCTGGCCAAGGGTGGCTGGCCGGAGGTGGCTAAGGAGGATGAAGCAGCGGCTTCTTCTCTGACGGCTAAGCCCCCTCCACGAGGACCATCAAGCCGGGCTGAGGTGAGCAATGCTACCATGAATTGCGTCTGACTCCATTACTTGACTCCATCCTTTAACTCTCATGCTCTCTACGACTTTACTATAATCTCTACTTATCATCGCTGTACAATTGCGCCTACCGAACCTGTGATGTTTGGTGGGGTTCCCTCTTCCCTTTAACCCCACAAATAGTCACCATTTTAATGTGTGCCATGCGGTTGCTTTCAGGATAGCCATAGGGTAACATCATTGTCACTACTATCTAATTTCGGAACACTTTCATTTCTCCTCAAAGGAACCTTATCTCACCAGAAATCTCATCCTATTCCCTTGCATTCCTAACTCTCCTACCCCACATCTGGTTTTTTTTTAATATAAAATTTTATATTTAAAGTGCAATGGAAAAGTGAACAGAAATAAAACCAAACCAAGCCCACTGCTGTGGAGCCAGGGCCGACTCACAGTGACCCACGTGGCGTTTCCAAGATTGTCGCTGCTGATGGGGGCAGGAAGCTGTCTTTCATCCCAGATCTGCCCGTGGTCACCACCAGGGGTCCTGAACATCACTTATGCTATTGTTAGGTGCCAAAAGGTAACCATGAAATGCAGAGAGAAAGAGAGAGAGAGAGAGAGAGAGAAGTGGGGGGAGTGTGTGGGTGTGGGGCACAACAGACGGACATTGAAGGGGAAGTAAGGAAGCACAGACAGAAATCAGGATAATCTTACTCAGTTCTAGTTGATCACCATGGCTTGTGGAAAGCTCAGAGCCGGTGCCTTCTGTGTCCTGACTCAAGAGGGAGGGAGGTGCACAATAAAGAGAGAGCTGTAAAGACAGAGACCACACACCCAGACTTTCATCCTCACTGAGTTCAGGGGATCCTTGGGGAGTCCCAGGGGCCATCCCTGGCTCAGTGTGTGAGTCACACTCAGGGTCATGAGGCACTTTCAGGGGGTCCTTGGGGAGTCCCAGGGGCCATCCCTGGCTCAGTGTGTGAGTCACACTCAGGGTCATGAGGCACTTCATGGAACGAGTCCCGGTGGCACAATCGGTAAGCCCTGGGCTCTGAAATGCCGAGCTGATAGGAGAAAGAAGTAGTGGTCTGCCCTCATAAAGATGATGTTACCAGAATTAGGTTATTGTCTTTGCTGAGAGAAAGAATTGCTTTGGTCAGACACGGAGGCAACACTAGAGAATTATGTTAGGCTCTTGAGAAGGAAGGCATGACCTGAAGGGTAGCAGGGTCAGAAAGGTGACAACCCCAGCACATGTGGAAGTGGGTATCTGAGTTGCCACAGGGCATGAGGGGCTCTGGGAATTTCAGTCCGAGCATGCTCTGTTTTCACCACATGGCATATGTGTGCAAAGAAGTCTGGGGAGTGTAACCCCAAGAGCAAAATGCAGTTCACAAGGTGGCTCGGGTTCTTGGTGTCTGAGGCAATACCTGTGTACAATAGCTTAAAATATTTCAGAGAGAAGGTCTGACTCAAGGAGCTTCCTTGTTTGAACTCTGGTTCCACACACTTATACAAGGGAACTGCTCGTGCTTTCACCTCTTGTCTAGGCATCGCCATTAGTATTTCCTCGCCTTGTTTCAATTACAACCTTGGAAACCCTGTGGGAGAGAGCCCCACGCCTCCGAATCTACTAGATAGCAATGGGTTCCCTTTCTTGTTCTTTGGTTGGGTCTGTAGGGTCATTACGAGTCAGAATTCTCATTGACCTCCACAGGTTTCGTTTGTGGCTCACAACACTCAGTCATAATGGTTTGGGGGAAGAGACCCAGGATAAGCAAAGAACTCACTAAGACAAAAACCAAAATAGGAGGCTTTTCCATTCTCGACCTCAAGACCTATTACACAGCCATGGTAGTTAATACCGCCTGGCACGTGGAGCAGAGGAATCACAGAGAGGACTGCAGGGCTGACCCAATCCCAGCTATGTTGACCACCCCCCAGAAGAATGAATACAGAGGGCAGCACTGAAGCTATAGCCTGGGGAGAGTGGTGGGTCTGTCCAGACCACTGGGAGCAAACTACTAGGGAAAGAGAGAGAGAGAGAACCTCACCAAGGCCCACAAGCCCCGATGACAACATCCCTGCTCAGAGCAGCCAAGGCACAGAGAGGACCGTAGGGCCGGCCCCACCAGCAGACACAATGTCCCCTCACTGACCCACAGTGCTACGTGGGGAAGCACTGGAGACACAGCGTGGAAAGTGTGCCCAGTCTGCCCCCACCACACAGTGGAGGGGAACACGAAGGAAGCGCAACGGGGCAGCGAGGGGAGCAAAGTAACAAACTCCCCGAGAAATCCTGAACGTAGACTTCTGACTTGGGGAACAGGGCTTGGCACCGCATCAAACCCGATTGGAAAACATTCAGAAGGGTCAGCAGACAGACTTGGAACTATTTATAGGCATCATTACATGTGTTGCGTGAGTCTGAAGAGGAGTTTATAGACTAGTATTGGACAGATGGGCTAATATTGGACTCATGGATTTGAACTGGCCTGGGCTGGGATGTTTTCTTAATATCCAATTACTTTTTTATATAAAGCTCTTTTGTATACACATATGAGTGCCTATGAATTTGTTTCTTGAGTCAACCTGGACTAACACAAGGCCTAAAGCCCATCTGTAGACAATTGGACATTCCCTTACAGAAAGGTCACAAGGAAGGGACAATTCAGCCAGGGTGCAGTATAGCACCTATGAAACACAAGACATTGTTCTAGTTTTTTAATGCTTCCTCCCCCGCCCCCAATCATGACCCAGTTCTACCTTAAAAATCTGACTAGACAGGAGTACGTAATTGGTACAGATAAGAACTCTGGACACATGGAATCCAGGAGAGATAAAACCCTCAGGAACAGCAGTGGGAGTGTTGATACCATGGGGGTAGGGGTCTGGGGGGTGAGAAAGGGGGACCTGATCACAAGGTTGAATATATACCACCCCCTCAAGGGGGATGAATAATAGAAATGTGGGTGAAGGGAGACAGTGGATGGTGTAAGATATAAAATAACAACAATAATACATAATTGATCAAGGGTTCACGAGGGTGTGAGGGTGGGGGAGGGAGGGGAAAAAAGAGGAGTTGATACCAAGGGCTCAAGTAGAAAGAAAATGTTTTTTAAATGATGATGGAAACATACGTACAAGTGTGCTTGATACAATTGAATTATGGTTTGTTATAAGATCTGTAAGAGCACCCAATAAAATGATGAGTAATAACACAAAAATAACACCCGGCGCTGGTACAATGATAGGTACACAGACCAAAGAAACAGAATAGAAAATCCAGAAATAAAAGCATCCACCTACAGACATTTGATCTTCAACAGAGAGTCAAAAACATTACGTGGGGAAGAGATGTTCTCTTCACTAATGATGCTGGCAAAATTGGGAATCCATAAGAGGAAGAATGAAACAAGACCCATACCTCAATCCATGTACCAAAATGAACTCAAGATGGATCAAAGACCTAAATGTAAATCTCAGAGTTATAAGGGCCATCAATGAGAAAATAGGGACTAACATAAGGGCCCTATTGCAGGGCATTGACACAAAACAGATGATTGTGGGGCCTACTAAAATAAGACACTATGTGCATCAAAAGACTTCATCAAAAGAGTACAAATGACCTATGCAGCAGGGGAAGAGTTTTGGCAATGACGCAATGGATGAGGGACCACGCTGTAAAATCCATAGTAATTTACAATAACTCAATAAGGAAAAGACAAATAACCCAACTAAAAACTGGGCCAAGGACACATGACATCAAATGGCTACATCTATGAAGACATGCTCGCCATCACTAGTCGTCTGGGAGATGCAAATCCAAGCAACAGTGAGATCCCACTTTACACCAATAGTGACAGATAAAATCAAGACAAAACGAGACAGAAAGCAACAAGTGTCGGAGAGGGCACAGGGAGGTTGGAACGCTCATACGCTGCTGGTGGGACTGTAAATATGTACAATCACTGTGGAAAGCAACATGGCACTGCCTCAAACAGGTGGAAATAAGAATTCCATACACTTCAGCTGTCCCTCTGCTGGGCATACGCCCTAAAGATGTTAGTCTCAGCTCGGACAAACAGAGGCACATCCGTGTTCATTGCAGTACTGCTCACAATAGTAAGAAGATAGAAATGTCCATCAGTAGAAGAATGGATAAAGAAACTTGAATACATACACCAAAGGTACCCAGACAATAGAACACTATGTATCCCTAAATGCAGTACTGTGCATCACTAAAAAATTGAATGGAAAGCTATGGATTGGATAATGGCGTAGTATGTATGCATCACTAAAAACAAAACAGAACAAAAAAAAGATGAAACCATAAAACGCAAAGCACAAATTGATGTGGAGAACATTAAGCTCAGTGAAATTAGTCAATCACAAAAGGACAAATATGGTATGAGACCATGATTGTAAGAAAAAGAAATAGAACAAAAACCCAAGCCAAAGTCATCCATACCAAAGGGAACATCGTTTTGGAGATGACCAAACAGGGGAGGGCAAGAGAGGGAAGACGAAGGAATAGACCAGAGGGTCTATTGACAAGTATTCGCTTCAGCGAAGGTGGCAATCCACAAGATGCGGTTTGAGAAGCAGTTTAAACTATTGTGCAAAAAATTGATCATCTAAAATGTAAAATTCCCCCCTAATTCACACAAAACAGATGAATACTAGGGATGATGTGTTTCTTCGTTCTTAGGTACAGGGACTCAGCAAGCTTCCCGGGGCCAAATCGCCACATCTACATGCCTTCCCTGGTGGCAAAGCAGAGTCCTTGTTTGCTTGCTAATCACAGGGTGAGCACTTTGAAAGCCCAAGCCACCTTGTGGGAGAAAGATGAAACTTTCTACTCCGATGAAGCGTCACAGTTTCTGTCACCCACGGGGCAGTTCTATGCCATCCTATGGGGTCGCTGGGAATTGGAGTCGATTTGATTGGGTGGCAGAGGGCTTGGGTTTTTGAGACATATCTTACACTCTCAAAAGTTCAATAAGTCAACGGCACTCGTGGGGGTGCCTGAGGTCAGTCTTAGGTGCCCACCATGGACAGCAGGACACCAGCAGGCTCACCTTTTCCATCTGGCTCCACACATCCAGCACATCATGGGCAAAGTTGAAGTACTCAGGCACCGGCTGCCTCCCCAGACTGATGGCTTCCCAGGTGGCCACCATCTCGGAAGGGACAGGTGAGGGGGGTGGCCGCCCTGGAGGCCCACAGAATCCTCGGGAACTTCTCAGGCTCTGGAGGAGCAGACTTCTCAGCCATAGTCGCATGGTGCTGCTGCCTGCCTGCCACCAGAGAAAGGAGAGAGCATTGCCCCTGAATGCCGGGCACAGGGAGCAAGCCGAGATAGAAGAGCAGGCTGTGGTGAGCCCTGCAGGTGCTGGTAGAACGTGCAGACACAATTTTGAGTTGTGGTCTCCGTTCTGCTGTGTGATATGGTCAAGTCGAGCCTGAGGTCCATCCCCTCCACCTCACACTAGCCAGGGCCACAGGTGCAGATGACCAGGAAGCAAGGTAAGCATGGGCTCCCTGTGCTTACTTACTAATCTGTAGTAAAATGCAAGTGAAACTGTTCGCTGCAGATTAATAACTATGCACAAGCAAGCTCATGGCTGCCTTGCTTATTGGCTAATCGGACACTGCCTAGCGTGTCCGTGAATCTGCCATTTAATAAGTCAGCACTCCACTCCCCAAGACTGAGTGCTTTAGAAGTACTCCCTCAGTCAGTCTGTGGCCAACGCTAAACCGGAAAGACAAAGGCTGCAGGGCAGTGCTGCCCAAGAGAAATCTAATGTGAATCCCGCATGCGATTGAAAAGATCCCTATTTGTTGCTGTGGTTGTTGTTAGGTGCCATTGGGTTAGGCTCAACCCAAAGTGACCCCACGTGACCGAGTAGAAGGACCCCATTGTGCTTTCTAAACCATCATCTACCCAGGAGCGGGTTGCTCGTCTTTCTCCTGATGAGCGGCATAGTGGGTTTGAACCACCCAACATTGAACCGTCGTGACACCAGGGATCTTGAAAAGGTCCCTCGGTGGTACAAACAGCGCATGTGACTGCTCACCTTAAGGTCATGACTTCAAGCCCACCCAGCAGCAGCACAGAAGGAAAGGCTGGAGATCTGCTTCCATTAAGATGCCAAACCAAACCGCTCACTGCCACGAAGCCAATTCGGACTCAGAGCGACCTTTAAGGTTCCAAGTCCCGAGCCATGCGCTAAGTTCTTGGGGAGGCCTCCCTGGGCCAGTTTTGTAAACCCCCTGTGACTGCAGCATGCCTTACCCAACCAGGACCCCGTTCCCGCTCTAGGCATCCCACCTGTAGCCATGGTGCATGCATCTGCTGCCAACCACGTATTTGTGACAGCTTTCCTTGGCCTCTCCTGTCCTTTCAAAGTTCTGTATATCAGCTAACCCTGGGATACCATTAGGACTTTATGCTGATGGCCTCTCTCAACCTGATTGTATGCCTTCAGCTTCTTGTCCTTGTCCTGTTTAAGCATTTAAGAAATGTGCCCTTTAAGAAAAGGAAGAAATCCCGGGGTGACAGTTCTACCTCTGTAACACGTGGGGCAACCATGAATCCACATTGCTTCAACCCCCAGCTAACGACAAGAACGTTGAAGGCTTGCTGGGAGCCAAACATTTTGAAAGTGCTTTATAAACATTTCATCGAATCCTTTGAACAACACTGAGGTTTTTATTTTCTCCACTTTATAGATAAAGAAAATACGTGAGAGGTAAAGTGACTTTAAGGTCTCAGGTAGGCCGAGGCTTCTGCCATGGCCACTTTGCTGTGCCTCAGAGATGTCCT